TGGCAAGTTCTGCAAACTATGTATCCAAGTAAAGATAAAAATATCAGGAATACAGACAGGATATGTAGCTCATTGACTCCTAACCTTGTGGGTGAAGGGCCATCATGTGTCAAGTCACGTACATTACCCGTATTTGGAGAGGCAACACAACTGAATATAAAAAGAAAAATATCTAAATATGATTTAAATAACATGATTTAAAAATATACACCAAATTCCGAGCATTACATCATTTTTAGCAGTATATAATTCATTAAATCACTTTATGTTATGTTCATAAAAATGAATTATTTGATTGTACGCTGTAGAATTTTTTGTAGCTATCAACATTATGATTCATTATATGCTAGCTGGAGGGCTAAACTTCTTTAACTTTTTATTCTATTTTTATTTTTTATTATTAGTGCTGTATTGAACCATCTTTATTTCATTTTATTATTACCCCAAGAAATGAGGAGTATTCAGCAGTTTTTTAGTTCAATTATTTGGATTTTTAAGCTTAATTCTTAAGTTTTTCTTCTTTTTAGAGCCATCAGGCTTTGGTATCTTGAAAAAAAAAAATCTCTTATTCTCAGTTTTATTTTAATTTTTTTGCTAGGATTAAATGTTAAAGGAAGTTACAATGAATTCATAGTATGCTCTATTTGTGCCTAAGGAGAGCTCATAGTCTTTTAATAATAAAGCGAAGACGACACACAAAAAAGGCCCTTTTATGGTTTAGTGCCAATTATCCCCCTGTTATTACCGTAGGCAGCTTTCCGTATCATTAGATAGGAATGAAATCATTATTAATTTTGAAGCTAGATTGTTCGAGACATACCGTATATCTCAACAAAAATTGCCATGCCATATCTTTTTTCACCTTGCGTTTGTTGATATGGTGAAAACGCTGTATACTCAAGAAATATTGTTTTTCTGTGTTTAGCTATTTTTTTTATTAATTGAATTATTAGTGATGTGTACCTGAGTTATAATGCTCTCAGTGACAATGCTTAAGCACCCTGGCTCAGATTTATTCAGACTGGCTCTATCTGCCTACAAATAGAATCTGCTAGGCTTGGATACCAATATGTTTGCACACAATATGTTTAACTGACCTTCGGAGGTAGAATAGATATATATCTGTTAAATATGTTCTATTTCTTTTCATAACTTGTATAAAATAAATGCAGTTTTCATGACTTTCAGTAGATAGACAATTCCACAGCAAATGAGCCATTGTAGCTCTTGTACTCATTGAATGAAAAAGAGTGGAGTCATTGAATTCCTTAGCCTCTGCTCTGACTGGGGAACTCAATGACTCCACTCAATGACAGTGCTGGACTTGAAGGAATGTTTACTATGGACTGCATGTAGATGAGGTAGATTCATACACACTGAACATTTATGTGCATTTTATTGCTGAGGAACGTGTGTGTGGTGTGTGTGTGTGTGTGTGTGTGTGTGATACCTGTAGTGTCCTTTTAAATATAAACAGGTTACATCAAAGACCACAATATTAAACACAGACAACGCAAGTTAGTCTTTAGGTAACTTGAAGCAAGCATTTGTGTTTAGCACTGCTTGGTCTGTAGCAGACCCCTTGCCATGTTCCATTATAGTGATGGGGTCTGTTGAGGGAGGGAGCATAGCTCCTATAATTTAAATTACAATCTGATGAGAATAACCACTCATTAACAAAATGCCTCCCATATATTTTATATTTTATATTACATTTTCCCTGAGCGGCGGGTGGGGGCCCTAAATACTAAAAGGGGGGGGACCTAAGGTCCTCCCCCCTGGCCCCCACCCCTGAGCGGTGGGTGGGGGCCCTAAATACTAAAAAGGGGGGGACCTAATGTCCTCCCCCCCCACCCCTGAGCGGGCGGGGTGGGGCCCTAAATACTAAAAAGGGGGACCTAATGTCCCCCCGGCCCCCACCCCTGAGCGGCGGGTGGGGCCCAAAAATGTTCCCCAGGTGACTAGGGGTCCCCAAACCCCTACCCCTCCCCCAAAAAAACTTAACCTCCTACCTACCCCCCTCACCCTAAAAATAATGAGGGGGGACCTTTAACTAAGTACCTGTAAAAAAAAAAAAAACTTACCATTCGATGTTTTCTTTCTTCTAAACCTTCTTTTTTCAGCCCCAAAAAAGGCCAAATAAAAAACCATAATAAACGACGAATTAAAAAAAAAAAAACGAGCTTAAAAAATAATCCATGTTCACCGGCGAGGGCTCCGCGAGACGAGCTTGCAGGGCGGGGAAGGCTTATAAAGCCTTGCCCCGCCTCTGCAATTGGGCTCAGAGCACTCTGATTGGTGGGTTTAAGCCATCCAATCAGAGTGCTCTGACAGGTAAATGAAGAGACTGACAGGTAAGTCTCTACATTTACCTGTCACAGCACTCTGATTGGTTGGTTTGAAATCCACCAATCAGAGTGCTCTGTGTCATTTTACACAGCGTGGGAAAGTCCTTTGGAATTTTCCCACGCTGTGTAATTTGACTCATAACTCTCTGATTGGTGGATTAAAAAGAGTTATAGTTATAAAGAGCACTCTGATTGGTGGATTTCAAACCAACCAATCAGAGTGCTGTGACAGGTAAATGTAGAGACTGTTTGTTGCTGTTTGTCCATTTTGTGTAGAACTGTGAGATGCGCTTTTTTTGTTTAGAGCTACATGTGCACTTAAGTTCAATTTGGACTGTTCATATATGTAGGAGCACCTAAACACTTTTTCACTTTTAGAAAAATTACCTATGCTTTTTAGTTTTGGTTTGGTTTTAAACTTGAAATTCACTTTGAATTCTCACTTTAGTGACTAGCCCTGTTTGAATTAGTAGGATTGTGGTTTAATAAAGCAGGAAATATCATATGAAGCAACAGAATCACTTTATGCAAATTTCTGTGTTTTAATTAAGTTTATAATTGACATCACTCTTCAGCAGAGACTGCGTAGGGCGTGTATCATGAAAGCATTAGAATCGCACAACAGGATCATAGAGTGCATGCATGTATCTAATGATCTGTCTAATGAAATATATTTGTTTAGCTACTTCTACTGACCTGTATCACCCTGCAATTTGAACTTGATCACCTTTTTCATCCAGTTAAGGATTTAGTCTTGCACTTATGAGCAATATTAACAAAATGTCATTCTTCACTTGGGAAATTATGGCATGTAAATATCCATGTATACAAGATATCTTATTTAGATAATAGATCATTATTAGAATGGTTGCTAATCTGTTCGGTGGCATTGTCCAACCAATGGACATTTTGAAGTGGGTGATTACAGTATAGTGAATCTGTTATACATTTGTCTCCTGTGTAGTAAGGTTCTTTCTCAAATTCGACTTGAATGTTTTATCATTTTTGGAAATACAGCCCAATTAAAAGGGTATTGAATTTCCTTCTGAATTCATAGGAACTCGAAGTCAAAGCTATTTCAAAATGACTCAGCTTTCCCAAATATACGCAACCCAAGCAATAGTAATTCTCTGGTTAACCAGTTATGGGTAAAATGGGTGATTGTTGGACACAAGTTAGTTTTTGGTTCATTTTGATTTTGTAATTCCAAAATTAATTTACGCTGAAATTAAGTTATTATCAATTCGTAATGAACCAAGCTTTGGCTGAAAATTTCCCAAAGATCTAGGATTTGGATATTAACTCATTATAGGGTCCTGTTTAGTGTGTTACTCCGTAATTTGGTTCCCCTATGTGGGATTCAATGCATTTCTATTAGGAGACACTAACTGGCTAGGGTGACGAACTGACAATTTCATCCAATCCAATGCCTTCCTATGGAAGTGGCGAATACGCTGTGCACTAGAAAAAAAAAAGGTTCAAAATTAGGCTGCTGGTTAATAGCTAGACTTGGTTGCAGAAGTCCTGGAATATTCTACAGTGGCCATCACAGTCACCTGTCTTGAATTCCATAGAAAAGCTCTGGTGGGATTTGACGAAGGCGGTTGCAGAACGCAAACCTGTGAATATTACTGAACTGGAGGCCATTGCTCATGAGACGCCAGACGCTGGTGTCTAACTATGCATCTCGTGTGCAGGTCATAACAGTAAAAGGGTGCCCTACTAAGTACTAAAGATGCTTGCCATAAGGGTTTTGAATGATTTTGAGACTGGAGAGGACATACGTTGCATTTTCAGTTGAATTTAGTGAAACCGCTTGAACCATCTGTTGTGTTGAGCTATTTCAATTGCCTTTTTTTTATTATTTGTTCATGCCAAACAGCTGTAGCTCTGTTTATTTTGGTAATAAACCTGATTTTCCCTGGGCGTTGAATAATTTAGATTTTTAACTGTATCTACTAAACTGCTGAAAATTTCCGTTGCTTAATGGAGAAATCCCTAATTATCTATCCTTATGAAAATGCATGAATCTGAAATACTTTGGTTCAATTAGTTCCAAATTCGTTTGTTTTCAGACATTTCGGATGCTTCCAAATTCAAAGTTAGTGTTTAGGTAACTTGAAGCAAGCATTTGTGTTTAGCACTGCTTGGTCTGTAGCAGACCCCTTGCCATGTTCCATTATAGTGATGGGGTCTGTTGAGGGAGGGAGCATAGCTCCTATAATTTAAATTACAATCTGACGAGAATAACCACTCATTAACAAAACGCCTACCCATTATTTTAATCCTGCTGCCTCCCATATATTTTATATTACATTTCCAGGTCTTTTGCCACCTTCCAGCCCGATTCAATCTTCTTCTATCCATGGATTCATATAATGTGTTAAATATTGATTACGTTCAACCGCTGTAACCTTTATGAACCTCCCTGGAAAAAGATGTTATAAATTGTATGCAAATTAATAGGTAAATAAATATTCTACTCGTGTCTGCCGCGTTTTTGTACGCCTCTGGTCTTTTTCACATTCCCCACGATTATGCTTCTGAGTTTATAAATCTGCCTTTTTCCACCCCTAGCTTATTATGCGTACAAAATCTAAACTACTCAATCCCATTCTCAGAACTTTCAGTCTAACTAAGCATCATGTTAACGGTAGCTCAGATACATAGCCAATTACCATGCTTTATCATCACTGCTTTAGAATTTGCTCACGGAATTGTGTCTGGAATGCTCTCTAGAGAAAGCATTCTTACCACGTGTCGTTTTTTTGAATGTCAGTAGCTAGACCCAATTTTCGGTAAATGGTTGTATTCCAGCAGCATTTTTTCCAATTCCTCTATGAAGATATATTTTCTATGTTCACTTGCAGTGTTTATAGTACACTGTAACTGATTTCAAATTACAATCAAATTTCTTCTTATAGCGGGTGAGGTAAAATAGGTAAACTTGAAATGGATATCATGTGAATAATTACATTTTATAGAAATACTAATTCAAAAGAATTATTGAAAATTGATCGAAACTGGTCAAAAGCACAGTAAACGTATTTATAACACATGGAGTAAGCTGCTAACTGGTTGTGCCATCTGATAAAAAACTGAAGTGATAACATTTCAGCTGTGTTACTACTTTATTGTCTTTGAAAAACGGCTTTATCAAATGTAAATATTACTGTGTGCAATTTTTTAAATCAATTTTTCTGCCTAAAAACTATTCGTAAATATGATAAATTGTTCCTTATAATTGCTGACTACAAGGTTTCTTGCAGGAGATATATCAGACACCTGATGAAGACCATCGGTCGAAACGTGCCGTTTTTGTGCCGTTATATGGGGTTGGCCAGTGGTGAGATTGTTTTACATGTGTGTTTGCTTGACATAAAATAAGTCTGGTTTTCTGAATTTTATGTAGCCTCATTTTTTCAAGATTTTATATCTTAATAAATTATATCTTTGAACAACTGGTGTCTGAATTCCCCATTGCTGTTTACACTAGCCCAAGAGGGGGGTACCTCTATGTTTGTTTCTACTGAGCCTCTGCACGGCTCTATACAACGTGAGTGGTTCCAAGAGCTTTCTTATTATTTATATGGTTCCTTTACATATATGACAATGTTTCTTATTTTTACTGTATGTCCAGTGTGAGAAAAAAAGGGAATACGTTTTATGTTTTTAAGTCACTGATATTGAACACTTTTAAAGTTTAAAATAGGTGAGTATCCTCACTTAATTAGCTGTCCTTTTGGGGCTATGTATTTACACCTGTTATTTGCTGAATCACAAGACGCCGCCAAGCTCCTCTTTTGAGCTCCCTAAGTGGGCACAAGACTTGTTTAAACTGCAACACTGGGTGAATGAAAAATTGTGTCATTTGTAATGCAATGTGCACACTTCACTTTGTTTGTTGCTGTTTGTCCATTTTGTGTAGAACTGTGAGATGTGCTTTTTTGTTTAGAGCTACATGTGCACTTAAGTTCAATTTGAACTGTACATATTTGTAGGAGCACCTAAACACTTTTTCACTTTTAGAAAAATTACCTATGCTTTTTAGTTTTGGTTTGGTTTTAAACTTGAAATTCACTTTGAATTCTCACTTTAGTGACTAGCCCTGTATGAATTAGTAGGATTGTGGTTTAATAAAGCAGGAAATATCATATGAAGCAACAGAATCAATTTATGCAAATTTCTGTGTTTTAATTACGTTTATAATTGACATCACTCTTCAGCAGAGACTGCGTAGGGCGTGTATCATGAAAGCATTAGAATCGCACAACAGGATCATAGTGCATGCATGTGTCTAATGATCTGTCTAATGAAATGTATTTGTTTAGCTACTTCCACTGACCTGTATCACCCTGCAATTTGAACTTGATCACCTTTTTCATCCAGTTAAGGATTTAGTCTTGCACTTATGAGCAATATTAACAAAATGTCATTCTTCACTTGTGAAATTATGGCATGTAAATATCCATGTATACAAGATATCTTATTTAGATAATAGATAATTATTAGAACGGTTGCTAATCTGTTCGGTGGCATTGTCCAACCAATGGACATTTTGAAGTGGGTGATTACAGTATAGTAAATCTGTTATACATTTGTCTCCTGTGTAGTAAGGTTCTTTCTCAAATTCGACTTGAATGTTTTATCATTTTTGGAAATACAGCCCAATTAAAAGGGTATGGAATTTCCTTCTGAATTCATAGGAACTCGAAGTCAAAGCTATTTCAAAATGACTCAGCTTTCCCAAATATACGCAACCCAAGCAATAGTAATTCTCTGGTTAAGCAGTTATGGGTAAAATGGGTGATTGTTGGACAATAGTTAGTTTTTGGTTCATTTTGATTTTGTAATTCCAAAATTAATTTACGCTGAAATTAAGTTATTATCAATTCGTAATGAACCAAGCTTTGGCTGAAAATTTCCCAAAGATCTAGGATTTGGATATTAACTCATTATAGGGTCCTGTTTAGTGTGTTACTCCATAATTTGGTTCTCCTATGTGGGATTCAATGCATTTCTATGAGGAGACACTAACTGGCTAGGGTGACGAACTGACAATTTCATCCAATCCAATGCCTTCCTATGGAAGTGGCGAATACGCTGTGCACTAGAAAAAAAAAAGGTTCAAAATTAGGCTGCTGGTTAATAGCTAGACTTGGTTGCAGAAGTCCTGGAATATTCTACAGTGGCCATCACAGTCACCTGTCTTGAATTCCATAGAAAAGCTCTGGTGGGATTTGACGAAGGCGGTTGCAGAACGCAAACCCGTGAATATTACTGAACTGGAGGCCATTGCTCATGAAACGCCAGACGCTGGTGTCTAACTATGCATCTCGTGTGCAGGTCATAACAGTAAAAGGGTGCCCTACTAAGTACTAAAGATGCTTGCCATAAAGGTTTTGAATGATTTTGAGACTGGAGAGGACATACGTTGCATTTTCAGTTGAATTTTGTGAAACCGCTTGAACCATCTGTTGTGTTGAGCTATTTCAATTGCCTTTTTTTTTTATTTGTTCATGCCAAACAGCTGTAGCTCTGTATATTTTGATAATAAACCTGATTTTCCCTGGGCGTTGAATAATTTAGATTTTTAACTGTATCTACTAAACTGCTGAAAATTTCAGTTGCTTAATGGAGAAATCCCTAATTATCTATCCTTATGAAAATGCATGAATCTGAAATACTTTGGTTCAATTAGTTCCAAATTCGTTTGTTTTCAGACATTTCGGATGCTTCCAAATTCAAAAGCTTCTGAAATACATAATTTGGCAGAAATTCAGATGAAATGGATTTGTCTGAATCCAAACGCACATGTCTAATCTCAATAATCACCAGACACCACTAGAAATATGGTACATGACTCCCTAATGGACTCTTTAAGCACTGTTCACTGAAAGTTGATCGATTGGAGATGCTAAATGTAATTACTATGGGTTTGTGGGCTATATATGAGTCATCTGTACTCATTCTCAGAGAACAATTAAGATCCCACCGGACGGTAGGCAGGTTAATGGTCTGGGACTCCTCTTCATACTTCACATAGGAATAGTGAAATGGGAAGAGTAAATTCATGGTTCCTGTGGCCATGTCTAACATTTGAGATGTAGGCAGCTGCCTAAGATTCACTGGAGGGGAAATCTAACCTGTCCAGCATCCCCTTGCGCCCCCCCTCCCCTTTTTTGTTTACTATTCAGAGTGTTGTCACAACTGTAGCATAGCTACTCTGACTAGTGTCTGACTGATGCACATAAATGAGCCTGGGATAGCTGGTTCCTATCTGGCATTTGTCAGGATCAGAACTATGGGAATATGTGGAAATGTCCATGGTCCTACATTCAGCAGCAAATGTCTAAGTATATTTCAAATAAATTAAAGGACTTCTGAATTTTATAGTGTCAGGAATACAAAGCTGTATTCCAAACACTATAGTGCCCTCAGGTCCCCTCCTCCGTCGCCGAAACCCAAAGTTCAGAAAGGGTTAAAAAAACCTTATTTACTCACACGATTCCAGTTTTGATGTCCCTCGGCACTGGGTTGGCCAACATCATACAACGAGGCAACTAATGCACATGCGCGGTGTGTGCCTCAAGTGCATTAGGTCCTCCCCATAGGAAAGCACATGGTCTTAATGCTTCCTATGGGGATTCACGGACACTGGATGTCCTCATGCAGAGCGTGAGCACTTCCAGCATCGTTTAGGGGACCTAAAGTCCGGTACACTCCCAGAAGTGCTCAAGTGGTTTCTCTGGAACTGCAATGTTTTACATTGCAAGAATAAGGAGGACAGGGACACTGCACCCAGACCACTTCAATGAGATGAAGTGGTCTGGGTGCCCACGGTGTCCCTTTAAGTTATGCTTTATGTTGGTTTTTTAAAAATGTGTATTTTAATAAAGCTGTGGTTGAGCACTACCCTTCTTTTTACAGTGTGGGTGACTATCTATATCAGGGATAGGCAACCTTCGGCACTCCAGATGTTTTGGACTACATCCCCCATAGTGCTGGCAAAGCATCATGGGAGGTGTATTTCAAAACATCTGGAGTGGCGAAGGTTGCCTATGTCTGATCTAGATGTTTGATGATTTGTCCTGATGTTCTGTATCTGGGCATATGGGCAGTCATATATCCTGAGTCACAATAGTGGCTTAGATTATTTGTGAGTGCTTTTTCTGGAAAACAGGATATATATCTTATTTACAGCAATCATTTAGTCCTTCCTTCATCACTGTTTTATTTCTGTTTATCTCTACCCGATATATTGTTTAGAATATCTGTGAGTTATATAATAAGTATATTTTATAAGCCCAAATTTATTTGTAAAATTTCATGCTATATATAAAGTTTTCATAACAATCCACACCACTCAGTTGGGAGCTGTAACTGAAAATTAAAGTCAAATGGAAAATTTTAATTTCTTATTTTTGACACATGGTTTGAAAACATGTCTTTGTAGCTTAATCACTGAAATAGCAATAGTGAACAAGTAACAATGGAATTGCAAAGTTTAGGCCAAGATAGCTTAGATTGCAAAATAGATGAGCAGGAATATTTTCCAAAATTAACTCTTTACCTTAAAACATGTAATCACCTTGTCAATTTTGTTCAATGACTAAACCTATTTGATTGCTGAAGCTGAAACTTAAAAGTGGTCTGCTGTGCTCTGAAATGTTGCAGCCTATTTATTGTCCTCTTCCTAGTGTAAAATGAATAAATGTTATAGCAAGAATGAAAACAAACTCAATCTTAGGAGAAGTAGGAAGTGACCTGCTTGATGCAGTTGAAGATCCATCATTACATTTTCTTCTGATTAGAACGCCAGAAATACAGGCTGCAATCAAGGAAACTATATACTTGAGTGATTGAGCATCAGGTGGGTACTAATTTCACATGGTGTATTTATCCCACATGACTTGGGCTTATTAGGGGGGTTATTGATATTATGAAAGCCTGCCGGTTACTTCCAATCAAAATTAATTGTTTCTGTTTTGTTCTGCATTAATTGTATTACGTTTTCTTTTTAATATTGGCAATTATAAGCTGTAAGAGACGTAGTGGAAAATTAAACGTGTTGATTCTTATATCCATCCGACAGTTTTATTTATTTAAGCTATATTGATATTAACCTCCTTTTCTTAATTTACTCAAATCTTCTCTAGAAAAAAATTCTGGTATCTACAAAACGATTCCCCTGCCATGGTAAGAAAAATAGGAGAAATTCCACTTTTATCACGTTTCACGAGTGCGGACAGTTTTGCTTTTTTGTCTTCCAATTTTTATTTCCTAACGATTACAAAAATATTTAAGAAACAAACAAAAACCTCAACGAAAAATACTTTTTCTCAGAGATGCACAGTCTGTGCTTTGACAATTATAGGTGCAATTTGTGGGTAAAGGTAACAGTTCAAATTATTTACTTTATTAAGGTTAAAGGGTTACTCCAAGCACCATAACCACATAATTGATTTGAAGTTTTCATGGTGTCTGGAGTCTGTATCTGCAGCATTTTTCCTTTTGAAATGATGCACATACAGATATTAACCCCTTAGCTGCTGGAAATGCACCTCCACCTCTGGCAGCATCATTAGCAAATATTAATTCTGTGCATGCTGGTGCCAGACAGCCAATGACGGCACAAACTTCCCCCATCCATGTTGCCTCTATGCTCCCCTCAGTTTGTCCTCTCTGACCGCCCTCTCTGGAAAGGAAGTGTATAAGGCTCAGTAGCAGAATTAATATAAAGGGGATCCTGGTGCAAGAATTTTGGCCAAAAAGTAGATCCCCACCCGTCATACAAATCCCGCCATGCTTTGCCAGCTGGGGATATGCTATTTGCCCATCTTTGCAGGCAGTGGTGTACACACAACCCATGGGGCCCCGGTGCGAAAACTGATCCATGGTTCCCCCTTCCCCCGGCGCGTGCTTACTCTGCGCGGGCTGGGGCCGCAACACATGGCGGCGGGCACCTGGTCCTCGGGCTGCGACCCCTGCGACCGTGGTATGTACGCCAGTGCATGCATAAACACATACACTTAAAGGACCACTACAGACACCCAGATCACATCAGCTCAATGAAGTGGTCTGGGTGCCAGGTCTCTCTAGTTTTAACCCTGCAGTTGAAAACATAGCAGTTTCAGAGAAACTGCTATGTTTCACTGAGGGTTAATCCAGCCTCTAGTGGCTGTCTCATTGACAGCCGCTAGAAGAGCTTCTGCGATTCTCACTGTGAAAATCACAGTGAGAAGATGCTGAACGTCCATAGGAAAGCACTGAGTAATGCTTTCCTATGGGCGGTTTGAATACGCGCGTGGCTCTTGCGCATTCGGAGCTGAGAGGCGGATCGGGGCGGAGAGATCCCCAGCGCCAAGGGAGTCTGGCACTGGAGAAAGGTAAATGCTTAAGACACACACACACACACTTTCATGAACAGATGTATACACACTAGCTAACAGACACACACATTTACTGACAGACACACAGTGACAGACATACATACACACTCACTGACAGACACGGTCACTCACAAAACACACACTCACTAACAGATGCACACAAACACACTCACTGACACATTAACACACACACACACTAACATACACACACACTAACACACACACACTCTAACACTAACACACACTCTAACACACACACTAACACACACTCACACACGCTAACACACACTTACACACACACTTTTTTTGTAAAAAAAAAATTAATCCTCCCAGCCTCCCTACCTTTTGGAGAGCTGAGGGGATTCCCTGAGGTGCAGTGGTGTCACCCGGCGAGCAGGGGAGAGTGCTCCCTCGCGCACCCGCCAGCCGGGTGCCACCAGGGCCAGCATCAGGGGGCCCTGAGGTGGCCGGCTCCTGGGGGCCCTGAGGTGGCCAGCTCCTGGGCCCTCCAGGAGAAGAGGCTGGCCCAGTGGGTACATACCTGGGTTGCAGGGTGGCCGGGCCCCCTGGTGGGCCAGGCCCGATCGCAGCCGCGACCCCTGCGACCCTGGTATGTATGCCACTGCTTGCAGGGTAGTGTTTAGCACTGAGCTGTGTGTGTTTAAATGTAAACTTGTTTTTGTATGGAGTATGTTTGTGTGAGTGTAGAGGTGTATTAGCATGTACCGTTGTGTTGTGTTTTTTTTTTTTGCATTTATTTATTTAACTTTTTAACTTTGTGTTTGGTTGGAGTAACCCTTTAAATTGGTTTTATTGCCAGGAGAGATTGTAAGTCGTGGCTTACATTCATATAGATAATGGATGGGCAGTGCTGTATCTTTAACAAGGCAAACAAGGCACTTATAGGGGGGGCTGCGAAAAACGCGGTCCGCCAAGTGACCTGGCAGATGCCCTGTTAGCCTCTTTCATGAGGGACCCGAGAGTTGGCAGACTGGCCAGCTCAGGACCCCTTTGAGGCGTTCAGCTGCTCTTACAGGCAGCGAAGGAGCGCCGTCCTCTGAGCTCTTCCTGCTCAGCTCCCTTGCAAGCACCACAGTGATGCCGGGAGCCAGAATATGACGTCACTCTGGCTCCCTGTATCACTAAGCAGTGCGCGAGGGAGATGAGCAGAAAGATCACAGCTCCCTTGCCACCTGCATTTGCTGACTGACTGCCCGTCTGTGCCTGCAAACCTGCCCGCCCACCCAGCAACTGCCAGCCCCACTGGACCCCAGCGAAGAATCCACTCCAGATTTCCCAAAGGTATGGAGGCTGGGTGAATTAAATTTCAAATCTAAAAGTATATGTATAGGGAGGCGGGACTTCCGGCTCTACATATCAGTCACATGATGCTGTAGCTCTGACCCGACACGGCCTAAAAAGCAACTAAACAAAGCACCTCTCAGAAAATAACTCACCTTAAAAGATTGTACAACAGAAAGAAAGGAACATAGGTGCTCACTACACTATAGTACAGAGTGTAACTGGGTTGCAGTGACTAGTACAAGGATTCCCAGACCTTGTGGCTAATGGAGTATAAAGAGAAAGTAACCGCGCCCAAGGATTATGTGCAAAACTTAATAGGTAACACTCTTTTTTTTTTTACACCTTAAAAGAGTGCTCACACTCAGGGGACCTCAATAGCTCCTAATGGCACCCCCAAAAGCTGAGCGTGCCTCTGATTTCTTGCGTCAAGGAAAGAGAGAAAGACAAAGGCCTGACCAAGTGGCGGCAGCTCCTGCTCATCAACGCAGACATTGGACGCAGGATCCGACACAGAAACACTGCAGGCAAATCCTGGCGACATTTCACTATAAGAAAGACGGCTAGCAGCTATGTTACATGAGCTGCGCTCCTCTATGAAGGCAGACTTTAAATCCGCTGTGGATGATATCCACAAGGAGGTGCAGGAGATTGGCATGCATATGGGCGCACTGGAGGAGAGAGCGGACGAGTTCTGCCTAGCCAACAATGAAATTGTAGATAAAATACACAAGTTGGAAACAGACCATAAGGGACTGGTGGAAAAAATGGCGGATCTGGAGTTCCGCTCGCGCCGCAATAACATCTGCGTGCGTGAGGTCCCGGAGACCATCACTACTGAGCAACTGCGAGAAGAGTGAACCCGCAACAGACAAAAGTCCACAAATTGAAATGACTCTACTACTTCGCATTGCCACAGACAGAGACTGTTTCCAATGCAGGAGGTGACCTTTGGGACCCCATGTAATGGATACTCCTCAGAACCTGTTAGGGACTAATGGTGATATACATCCATGAAACTGACTGAGAGAGGTGTTACTCACACACTACTGCTTACGTTACATAGTTACATAGCTGAAAAGAGACTTGCGTCCATCAAGTTCAGCCTTCCTCACATATGTTTTTCTGTTGATCCAAAAGAAGGCAAAAAAACCTAGTCTGAAGCGCTTCCAATTTTGCAACAAACTAGGAAAAAATTCCTTCTTCATCACAAAATAGCAGTCAGGTGTCTCCTTAGCTATTACCCCACTAATTAGAAATCATATCCCTGTATGTTATGTTTTTGCAAGTATTTATCCAATTGCAGTTTAAACATCTGTATGGACTCTGATAAAACCACCTCTGTTAGCCCGCACTTACCACTTAGAATTACCCACTAGGGCCGAACTGACAAACAAAAAACAACAAAAGTTTAATTAAATATATGTACATATACATAAATGTTTATACGCCCTGCTTTCCTCTAAGGGACACCTCTCTCTAGACTGACAACACTCCTTGCACATTAACACCGCCATGGGCACCCTATTTCCTCTCCCACTCAAGTGCCATGGGCATCTCACTGTGCTGTAAAGAACCCAAAATACAATGCCAGCAGGTTCCCATACTAACCCACTCACCTTGGCTACAACTCTGAGACATATTGTTATCCACCCTTGTTCACTCATTTAAAAGGTTACATAGTTACATAGTTACATAGCTGAAAAGAGACTTGCGTCCATCAAGTTCAGGCTTCATCACAAATGTTTTTACTGTTGATCCAAAAGAAGGCAAAAAACCTAGTCTGAAGTGCTTCCAATTTTGCAACAAACTAGGAAAAAAATCCTTCTTGACCCCAACATAGCAGTCAGATATCTCCTTGGATCAAGCAGCTATTACCCCACTAATTAGAAATTATATCCCTGTATGTTATGTTTTTGCAAGTATTTATCCAATTGCAGTTTAAACATCTGTATAGACGCTGACAAAACCACCTCTTCAGGCAGAGAATTCCATATCCTTATTGCTCTTACTGTAAAAATACCGTTTCTTTGCCTTAGATGAAATCTCCTTTCTTCCAGCCTAAATGTGTGACCTTGTGTCCTATGTATGGCCCTGTTTATGAATAGATTTCCAGATAAAGGTTTGTACTGGCCCCAAATATATTTGTATAATGTTAAAAAACTTTGGGGGTTGGTTTTGCTTTCTTTGGCTATCAATTTCTCATTTTCTAGTTTAGCCACTTTAATTTCCTTTTTGCAAGCGTTATTGACTTCCTTATATCTTATATAGGATGCCTCTGATTTGTCCGATTTAAATGCTTTAAATGCTCTTTTCTTATTTTTAATCTCTTGTTTTACTTCTCTACTAAGCCACATTGGTTTTCATTTGTTTCTTTTATATTTATTACCCAATGGTACATACTGAGAAATGTACCTTTCTAATATTTGTTTGAATAGTTTCCATTTAGCCTCAGTGTTTTTATCACTAAGGAGTTTATGCCAGTCGATATGTTGTAGAACTGCCCTAATCTTACTGAAATTGGCTTTTTAAAAATGATACATTTTAGTATACCTCACGTATAGAAGGAGTGCGGAGAAGAGCAGGATCACCACTTCTGAGGAAGGCTTTAATGCCGAAATGCGTCAGGTGGCAATTACTGATGGACTTTATCTGTCTGTATATTAAAAAATTTTTAAATTTTTTTATTTATATGTTCCAATAAATTTTATTTTTATCGTGATCCTGCATCCTGGGTCTTTGGAAATACTATCATTGGCACGAACAGGAGATATCTTGGGTACAGCAGAAATCCACCTTTGCAGCTGTTTTTCTCCGCTTTATGCTTCTAGTCTGAGTCAGCTTTTTATGTGACTAAGGAACATGTGAGTTTGACCAAAAATATGTGGTTTTGATATTAGTTTTTACTATATTACCCTATGGTCTTTTATCTCATTTTTACGAATGTATCCATGTTTTAATTGGTAAAGTTTATGTTTATAGAGTGCTCTCACCATTTCTTATTTCTCACTTTGTTTCACTTTTGTGTGTGTTGAGTGATTCACACAGGTGATAGTAGCACCTATATCACTAGTTCCAACAACTGTTTATTTTGCTTATGATTTTAACTGTGTTGGACAATGAACTAGACAGGTCCAGGGACCCAGGTTCTCACTCCCGCTCCACACCCCTCAGCGCAAAGCTATTAGCTTTGAAGCACTCTCGTGGCCTGCACGACACATGGCACTCACTATACCCAGCTACTAGGAACTACACCTTCTATTCAAAGGTCCATAACCAATACTCCCATGTAGACATGTGCCAAGTTGACGCAAAAACATTAGACACACTCGACGGGGTTACTATTGCCCCTATCACTTGATCAGAGCATGCACCCCTCCTGACCACTTTCACAATGCTTCATCCAATTAGGGGACAGGGAACTTGGTGACTCAATGAGTCAATTATAGACCACAAATAACAGGCAGCAGAAGTCCGAAGGATGTTTGCTAATTTCTTTGTGGAAACCCAAAACACAGATACAACTCTCCCTACAACCTGGCTTGCCCACAAGGCAGTAGTGCGGGGTCTACTGATCAAACACGGTGCACAACTGAGATGTAAATTTTCGTAAAAAAGTAACAAACTCATTAAAGATCTGAAAGTGATAGAGGACCAGCACAAAAACTTGCCTACTGAGTCCAATAGAACCCTAATGCACAAGATTAATCTGTCAGTCAAACTGCGTGTTCGTCTTAAACAGGAAGAGGTATGGCCTTGACAGGGTGGGTCACATTTACATTGGGGGGTGCCTGAGTTTTGTCACGCCTAGGGCAGCACAAATCCAAATACACCACTATGGATAAGAAGATAACATTTACTTTATGATAATTTGTGAGGGATCTCTGTGTGAGCCTGCTTACTGAATCTACCATTATGGCAATGACAGAAAATAGGTGATGAAGGCTAATGACAGTCACCTGCGGTGAGTTTAACATTCCTGTTTGAAAAGTTGGAAACTCTCCCAGGAAGTAGCGTTCGATTACTCTAAAACCTCAGCCTTGCCATGAACTTATTACTGAACAAAATCACTGAGACAAAATGTTCAGTTTACTCTACCCGTATAATGGTGGAAGTAAGGTTTTATACAGGGAATGTGTGTCTAGGCGGATCCGAGGCACACCAATACAAACAATAATACTTATCAATAAATAAATACATGCATTGTGCCTCGTGAAAGAAAGCTATCTTAGTGCATTAACCAATAGAAAGTGAATGTGTGATGTAAAAATGCTTATCGGGCTTGTGCTCACAACATATTACAAATCAAATTACAAATCATTGATATAAAACTTATCTAGGGGAGCATTACCAAATAGGGTCTTCTTAAAATAGGAGGGGAAAACATGGTCACAGAGGCTGTCAAGTCTATGTATAGAGAAAGGATTGGGAGCACACCCAACACCTGCATTTTGCATGAAAGGTGCTGCCGCAGTGACCAAACTTCATACATGAAAAAAAATAGTTGCGGCGCACTCAGACTACAAAAAAATACAGCACGAAGAAGGCTTCTAAATTGCCTATCTAAGAATAAATATGAGGATTTAGTTCCACCATATGGCCATATGATGTTAAGCCCACCAACATTGAGGTACTTTGAAAGCAGTGGTGGGCTTAACATCAAATGGCCATATGGTGGAACTAAATCCCCATATTTATTCTTAGATAGGGAATTTAGAAGCCTTCTTTGTGTTGTATTTTTTTGTAGTCTACTATTTTTTTCATGTGTCAAGTCTATGTATGTGACATTCTGGCACGGTCAGGTGCAAAACTACATATGTGACTTGTATGTACAAGTCTTATGATTTCAGCTAAATAGAAATTAACCCTGTAAACTCTTTAGCTCCCCCATCTATCTGCAGGGACTTTTGCTGAAACCATAATGATAAGTTAATGAGGCTTACTGCCACTCCAATATTTAATGTGACTTGTGATTTTGATGAACTCCATATTACAGAGATACTTCAACGAGGCTCTGAAGGCCAATCACGGATAACAGTCTGTGAGCGCTGGGGTACTTGTCCTCCCGTGAGTTTTGCAATGTTTTCACTGTTGCTATGCATTTATCCCATTCAGTTTCCATGTTTTAGTTATGTGCACCCACCTCTATTATATATTGAGCTCCACTGAAGGGACAATTGCCCCTCCTAACCCCAAATGTACAGGGTTTGTGGACTGCAGCTTTACACCATCTGTTCTTCTTTTCTGTACTAATGTCCCTCTTTTCTAGGAGCTCCATATTGTTGGTGTGTCTGAGTGTATAACAGAGCTCTAAAGCAATTCATACTCTAATGTGTCCTGAAGCTACAATAAGTGTGTTTAGAAATCAGTCAGTGTGAATTTGATACATTGTTCTTTTATAAATTGCATTTTAGTTGCCTAAATTGTTATTAGTAAGTCACCTATCGTTTCCTAAAACAGCCCACCCTGGTCACATCCCCACTCACACCCCTAGGATTAGTTTCTCTCTTTGTCCATTTAAAACATTGGAAGTTATGTGTGTTTTTTTCTGTCACTGAACTTACTATGTGTGGAGGAACGTACAGTTTGTAGGACTCATAGAAACTTCACTACGTTAGGTAATTATCCTACCTGAACCCACCTGGTTTGGCCCCCAAACAACTTTTTATAGCACCCGAACATTGACCACCCCTTTGTTAACCGCAAGGGAACCAATTAATTAGTGCTTCCATTTTTGTCATTTTGTCTCCTGAACACAGGTAGTGGAACTTGTTCATCGAGCGCCTGGAATCCTTTTAGGCTATATGACCTTGCGAACACCAGGGAAATCCTACTGCTACCTGCTCCAAGCCCAGAATAGCTAGGAGAGCATGCCTCGAGAGACAGATGCCATCAACCAGGGGGTGCATTTGCTCCCTGAAAGCAAGGGGAAACCTTCAACAGAATTCGTACAGGAACTCCCGGAACTGGACCGGCCGTTGCCCCATTCTTTATGAAACTGTTTTAGGCTTCAACCTCGCGGATGGCCGGTCAAAACTTAACCTCGCTGATGATTCCCTTCTACTGAATAGACCTGAGCGTTATTTGGTCAACTTAGGCGCTCGGATACGAGCTATCCAAGGATATTAGACATATGGGGTTTCTGTGAATATTCAGGGTACTTTTGGGGGATTATGAATATGTTTGGTATGTTTCCCTAAAATGAGAGATAATTGAGTTACAGTTACTTGACTAAATTATCGCCCAGACACAGGGACGCAAAGCAGTGGTTTGCAATATTCTTGTATGGAGACCGCATGCTGGGGGTCTGTGTATAAATGGAGCATGGTTTGCCTGATTAAAGCAGATGACTCCTAGAACTATTTCCCATCTAGTTACTGGGGGGAATACGAGCTACAATCACACAAGCAGTCTGGCTGAGAGGGAAAATAGCGGAGGTAACTAGTTAGGTTACCCAGAGTCCGTTACAGTATGGAGTTAGAAAATTAGAAACAATGTTTCCTTCTCCTCCCATACACAATATGCCCTGGTTGTGCCTAATCTGAACTGAATTGTGATGTTGATTTGCTAAATCTTTCATCTACATCTAAAAGAAAACAGTCAAAAGAAGATTAACGCAAAGAGGTTAATGCAAAGAGAAGGTTAATGCAAGTGACAGGACAATTTTATTGCTTTCCCCTCGAAGGATCAGCTGTAACTGTTAACTAACATCTTGCTGTCTCCTTATTATCTGCCACCCTAGGTCGAGAGATAAATATATGGCTGCTTATACACAATAAATCCTATTACGTCCCAACAACATCTGGCCAGTGGGTCTTTCTGCTTCTGCTAGCATAATCTTTTTTAGGATTAACGATCAGCTTTTTGATGCGAATGTCGAACGTTTTCACCGTAATACAGAATGTTGCTCTTAGAGGGGAAAAAAGATAGAACAACAGTTCACAGAATCCAACATCATCTCAGTAGATTCAGGAGTTCAAACCTAGATTGATTTGCACAAAATGAATTGTGACTTATAAAATCGCTATAGGCAGGGAAATGACTACAGGGGAAAAAACAAGCAAAATGTTTTCCCTTTCTGTGCTTCATTATGGCATTAAGCTTTTAGAGATTACTGCAAACTTTCCTTTTGGTATATTGGATATTAAAGGACGACAGAACAAATAATAACACAGTGCTGGCCAGTGTTTTGCTTTTGTTTTTAAACAGAATGCTTCCTTCCTATTTCCTCCTGTCCTGTAAATGTTGTTGAAGAACTTAAGCGGCAATTTCATGTTGAACTTACCTTTCCCCAATCGATTCCCCTTCTCTGCCTCTGTCAGGGTCTGTTCTTCATTTCTTCCTGTCTGCTCTAGTTTTCTTTAAAACATAAGACAAAGTAGGGACTATTTGTCTTATGGAGTTTTCCTACGCCTGACCAGCTATGACCAGCGGAGGAGCAAAGTGTGCTCCGTTTTCTGTGGTCAGAGAAATTTTCCCATAATTCTTACCTCCATGATCACTAGATGCTTTCTGGCAGTATTCCCGAACCTCCTGTCATTTAGAAAGAACCCCGGCAAAACTACCGAATTTTGTCCTAACAGAATGAGATCAGTTTCTCCATTTCTTGTTAGGACGCAATTTGGGACATTCGAATGAATGAAATTCAGATCTGATTCATGCCGCGGCTCCATCTTGCAGCTGCTTAGTAGATAACTCCCTAATTCCCATGGTATTAGAGAGCTATCTACCAAATGGCTGAAAGACCTAAATCGGTCTTTCAGACAAATGTATTAATACAAAGATTACTTAGTATTAGAAAATTCTGCTTGTGTCTGCTCACTGTTGTAAAACAAAAAAGCCCCCTAGTGTCCCCCCTCCCGAGCTGCGCTATTAAACTGAAGGGGGGACATAGTGTCCCCGCCCAGGCCCCCACCCATGAGCAGCGAGTAGGGGCCCAAAATGAAAATGGGGGGAAACCTAATGTCCTCCCCCCTTGCCACCACCTATGAGTGTGAGTGGGGGCTCTAAATGAAAATGGCGGGACCTGTTGTGCTCCCCCTGGCCCCCACCCATGAGCGGCGGGTAGGGGCCCTAAATGAAAATGGGGGGGACCTATTGTCCTCCTCCCTGGCCCCCGCCCATGAGCAGCAGGTGGGGTCCCTAAATGAAAATTGGGGGGACCTATTGTCCTCCCCTGGCCCCCACCCATGACCGGCGGACGGGGGCCCTAAATGAAAATGAGGGGGACCTATTTTCCTCCCACCCATGAGAGGAAGGTGAGTTCTTTTGTCATCTCCCCCCTGGCGTCCACCAATTGGTGACGGGTGGGGGCTAAATGTGAAATGGGGGCTAAATGTGTACTGTAGGAGGTTTAGGGGCATTTGGGGGTGACTAGGGGGACAATAAGATGTATTGGAGTTAGGAGGGGTTTACAAAAATGGCATTCGGCCATGACAGTGCCGCTTTACTGGGATGAGTAATACACATCTCATGATCCTCTGAAGGGCGCTCAAGTTCACTTAGCCATGATACATGTCCACATAAACATTTATTCCATACTGCTGTTTGTGACACATATGGCATTATGGGGGGCTAAATTGAAATTAATGTACATGATATTCTTTGACTATGCCAGTATAGACTGGCCTTAGATGTTAATTAAAGAATAGAAACCATTAAGAATTTAAAAAAAATAAAATTACAACCCATAGGAAATGTTTAGTTAACTATAGGGATGTGGCAACATTTTTTTTTTCAATTGGAGTTTTGCTTTAAAAAAAAAAAAAGGAAATGAAAAGTGACAAATAGTATTAAATCCCCATATAGCAAAATCCGAGGCAATACTTCAGAATGAACAGAATTCATGCATTTCATTTCACATAAAGCAGCTGTGAGAATGGCCATACAATATTAAAATAACTAGATTAAAGAAGATGAGTAAAAAGGATGAAAAATGAAAAAAAAAATTAGCAATGAAAACGATATGATAGAAGTCAAAGAACTATCAAGAGCAGAAACATGGTTATGTGAGTTGTGACCTTGACGGCCTAAAGTTGTCTTTTTTATGTCTAGATCTTTATTGAGTTTAAATAATTAGCAAATCATAAATATATCATAATTAGTATAATAAATGTAAAAAAATACATACAATTTTTTTTCAGACAATATTGTCAATACGCATAGTTACACTAAACATTGGCATACCTAGGGCATGTGGAACCCGGGGCGGGTCCTAGGTTTGGCACCCCACCTCCCCCCTTCTCCAAAAAAAAAAAAAACCTATTACATTTTTAAAATGTGTTATATTTTTTACATTTTTAAAAAAATGTATTGAACAAATGTGTAAACTTTCTAAACTCCCTGCCTGCCTCTACAAAATCCCTGCACCCCCTCACACACAGTTACAGGCAGACAGTCACACACAGTTATAGGCAGACAGTCACACACAGTTACAAGCAGTCACACGCACACAGTCACATGCAGACAGTCACACATATAGTCACAGGCAGTCATATACACAGTTACAGGTAGAGAGTTACACACAAACACAGTCAGTTACAAGCAGTTACACACAGTCACGCACACTGTAACAGGCAGACAGTCACATATACAGTCACACACACGGTCACAGGCAGACAGTAATACACATAGTTACAGCCACAAACACACAAAGTTACAGACAGTTACACACACAGTCAGTTACAGGCAGTCACGCACAAAGTTACATGCAGACAGTCACAGGCAGACAGTAACACATAGTTACAGGCAGCATCACACAGTCACAGGCAGACTGTCACACACAGTCACAGACAGTCACACACACACAGTTACAGGCATGCCGTCACACACACACACACATACACACACAGTTACAGGTAGACAGTTACGCACAAACACACAGTTACAGGCAGACTGTTACACACACACACAGTTACAGGCAGACAGTTACACACACACACACACAGTTTCAGGCAGACAGTTACACACACACACACACACACACAGTTTCAGCAGACAGTTAAACACGCACACACACACACAGTTTCAGGCAGACAGTTACACACACACACAGAGACACACACAGTTTCAGGCAGTTACACACACACACACACACTCTTATACTTACAGACAGTGTGGGCTGGAGGAGTGGATTCCCTGGCCTGTAGTCCTTCCCTGGCTGGAGGTGGAGGTGCAGGGATTTCTGCTTGCTGCACCTCCATGTGCAGCAGTTACAGCAGCTTGTAAGGGCCTGCTCACTGTTAGGCTCCACCCCTAAACGGCAGTAGCTCTGCCCCTTCTTCCTCCCGTGCGGCCAGTTCATCTTGCTGGTCTCTCCATGTAAGCTGTGTGAAACCCCAGCTGCCATGGGGCACAGCTCACACAGCCCCCTCCAGCCCCAAGACCAGGGTCAAGGCACCCCCCTACCAGGTGGCATCCGGGGCGGACCGCACCCTCCGACCCCCCCTTAGTCCGCCACTGACACTAAAACACATTTGCGCCACATTCATACCCACATGAATTTGGAAGTCACTGGGAAAGGGCAAGCATATATTAAATGAACAATTATAGATCAATTAAGGATCATTGATAAGTCACAAGAATATGCATAGTATTTCCAAGGGAGCCAAATATTTTCACATTTCTCAAAACTATCTCTAGAAACATAAAAACTTTGTTTAATCTTACATTGATATGCAATTTGATTACAAACCAGTTCATTTTCTCCAAGATTTCCAATTAAAGGCCATAACAATCTTTGTCATTAATATATGGACTATTAAATATTCTTGACTTTTCTAGTGGATAGGATAGAAAACATTCAACAAAAAAACATATATGGGTTCAACAAATTAATAGAGAAATACTAATATAAACAATAAATAAGATGACGTTTGAGAGAATCCAGCCCAGAACATTCCCACCACGTATGAAATAAATGGCCTTTTTCCAGATGACAACGCCAACAAATATCACAATTGTTTGTGGAAATTCTATTTAATCTATATGGGACCAGATACCACCTATATATTAACTTATAGTACAATTCTAAGATGGAAATACAATTTATATTTTGCATAACTCACTTACTACAAAATATCCATTCTTCATGTGGGAACTTTTTTGTTCAACTTACCATCTTAGAATTGGAGCTACTTTGCCTGCAACAGTGTTTTTATCTCTTAATTCAACTAGTTTCATTATTATAGACATCTTTTATATCCTGATAATACAAATCGAGAAAATATCATCAAGAAAATGAGAGTGCTAAATTAATTTCACCATTATCTTTTTTTTATATATGTAGATACAAAAATGTATGTTTATTGAAATACCAAATTTCCTCTGAAATTGAAAAAAGGACCTGATCACTCCATTATTAATAATATCTGAAATTTGAGATATCCCCCTGTGTTTCCAATCAACCAAATTCAAGTCCTCTATATCATAATAGAGTATCTCATTTTAAACCCCTTGAGGCACCTTATTATTAACATAGTTATTAGATCCTGAATTATAGGATTTGTGGTGATTTTTGTTTTAGCAATGGACCACAATATTTGCGACGGGATATAAGGAAAAATATCCCTTCTTGCAATTTCAAACCAGTCAGAATTCTATGAGCTAGAATACAGCCAAAGAGTAAAATGTGAGAACATGGCTGTTTCAAATAGTACATTTAAATCAGGGTATGATATGCCACCATCCTTCTTATTTTTACTAAGCATATTTTGAGATAGTCTGGGTTTCTATCCTAGCCAAATATAATCCCCAAACAGTTTCATAAATTTACAAACAATATTATGGTTAACGCTGAAAGGAATAGTCCTAAAAAGATATAATATCTTAGGTATTACATAGGCATTGACAATATTGATACGGCCCAACCAAGACATTTCTAATTCTTTCATAGATGATAGTTGCCTAAAAAATGATCTTCAACACCCATGATTAGTTGTAAACAATTAAGTCTTCTAAATAGGGGGGAGGGGGTGATCATAATTCATAAATGATCTATACGTGTTTTATTCCAGTCAAACCAATGTTGTGTCTTCAAAATTGCGAGATTGTTCTTAGATAGATTCTTAGTCAATATTTGGGATGTAGTAATATTAATCTTATAATTTGAATATTTACCAAAAATGTTAGTTGAGGATAATAACTGAGGAATTGAGTTAACTGGCTTTGATACCGAAAGGAGAACATGATACGCATAGAGCGTTATTTTATAGACCTGATTCCCAATTTGAATCTCTTGAATCTGCTTATTATGACTAATACAAATTGCTAAAGATTCAAGTAAAATAATATTAAGCAAGGGAGTCAAAGGGCATCCATGCCTAGTACCGTGTGAGATAGAAAACCAATCTGTATCAAAAATAGAGCGAACAACTTTAGATGTAGAATTGAAAGGTAGAGACATAATATATTCTTTAATGGGGCCCTTAATCCAAATTTATCAAGAACCAATGTTTAAATACCTCCCGCTTAAAATCATGCAACATTTTTTTAAAAAGGGGTGTCATGATGTCCTGACCTTTTATTCAAATCATTAATGGAAGTTTCAATTTCTAATTCAAGAACATCTTATGTTGGGATCTTCAAACTATCAAGAAATCTACAAATAGCAAATTCTGATGGTGCTTTTGTTTCAAACTAGTTTCAGCAATCTCATTCAGAAAATGGTAAGATTTGCCATTTATACTACTTTACTAATAATCTTTTGTTTAATATTGCATTTAAATTTATATAATAATAATATGCCAACTTTATCATAATTATGGTATCATTTTTGTTTAAGATGCAATATAGCCTTATTTACATTATGCAAAGTTTTCTCATTTATCTAATTTCTGATTTTATATATCTACTTAATAAATTCCGAATTTATTTGAGTCTTATTTAGCCTTTCGGCTCTGGCTAAGCTAATATGCAAATCTGAGAGGGAATTCTGTCTGTTGTTCTTCAATCGAGAGCCTAATTTAATAAGTTAACCCCATATAAAACATTTAAAAGTACACCTCAAAACTGAAGCCAAAAACTATGCAATTATCATTACTATCAATGAACTTTTGAGCTCCTACGTCTAGTTCTCGGTCAATACTCCTTATTATTTGAAACTTCAAGAAAAAGAGTCATGATCTGTCCACGTTATTGAACCAATCTATGTTTTCATTTTAAAGTTCCATTAATTCAAAGTTGTCAAAAAAGGGGGGCGGGGCCTGGCCGCCATGCTGGCTGGTCGCATGGAACGGCGGCTCCGACAGCTTTCTGCCTTTTCGGGCCCCAAAAACTGACTTACTGATCCGTCCAGCCGACCAAGAGCGATGGGCCGGCACACGGAGAAGCACCGGACCCGGGGAGAGGCTCGCAGAATATGTTTCAGTCCCTCGGAGAGATATACGTCGTCCTCATGGGATGAGGCCTACTCAGGCGGTGAGTGGGGCAGACGGCCGCTGCCCCGCTATCCTGCTCGACGATAATCAGCCGGACTTCCTCGGATTGGCGGTCCGGGCCCCGTCTCCCCCCCCTGGGCCGGTGGGGGTGATCCCGGCCCACACACTGCAATCCCCTCCGCAACGGAGATCCCAAGACCCAGGCGACCAGATAAAGCCTGCCACCTCACATCAGGGGAGCCTGCCACCTATCGCCCCCAGAGGATTGCAATCCCCACAAACACAGGGCAGGCCCCACGTACCTATTACTGGCAGCCTGATCAGAGCGGACACAGAGCCACACCACTACGTTACATGCCAAGCCTAGGCTTCGTGATTCTTGCACCCGCACAGGGCACAGAGGACGGAGGGGCTACAAGCGACGCAGCACCAACCCACCAGACCCGGCTAACTAACCCTCTGCCCAACTCAGGCAAACGGCACACGAGGCACGACACCACTTCAGCCCTCAGAACAAGCCCACAGCGCTCACACGGCAACACTTACTAGCCGCAGCAGGAGGGATTCAAATAGCTAGAAGGCGCCAGCAGAGGTGCACATCACTCCCCAACCCTCCGCCTTCACAAAGCGGACACCGAACAACAACGACTCCATATACCACCGAGGGCCACGCCGGGTGTGCAGATTCCTGCCTCACTCCACTGCCAGAGACATTGGAGCTCAAACGTCAGTTGGCGGGGCGGCAGTGTGTTCTTCTAATAATATGTGTTTTTTATTTGTATTGTTTACATTCTTAAGTGTTTACCCAATATCTCCCACTGTGGTGTTAAGTAGCAAACAACAGCACACAGTACTAGGTGTGATCTAGCTACTACTTTCACTCTGGTCTACCTTAGGCATCAGATAGGTACGCAACTAAACAACTAGCTTGTCTCACACAATATGAAGACACATCTGTTGGTATAATAACCTGTCACACTACTTTCAATGCCTATACGCCACATCAAACACGAGCTACGCACATACAATCTCAAGCACAACAAGTTTTGATATATGCATATCTAGTCTAGCGTGTTACATTATAAAATGCTACTATCTAATAATCTGTTACCCTCGCATTTATAAAAGAAAAATTGTGCTGTCTAAAATGCCACACATTGAAATGTCATGCAATTGCCTGTAGATGCTGTTGTGGCACTGCACGCTTGTTGTTAATCTATGCACAAGAAAAATAAAGAATTTAAAAAAAAAAAAAAAAAAAGTTGTCAAAAAAGATCGATAAGAGAATAAGATTGGATAGGGGACACGCCAACAGTCGAATAAAGATTTTTTTTATGAGGAAATTCTGCATCCTTGTAGCTGATGTTTTAGACCAATGGTCTTTAAGATGAGTCCTACCATGATTTATATCAAGCCTTGGGTCAACCACAAAGTTAAAATCACATTCTATAAGTAGTCTACCACAGGATAATGATTTCATTGTATTATATAATCATCCAAAAAACCTAATGAGGAGGAGGGCGGGGCCGGGCCGCTGGGCCGACTGGAAGCCATCCGCTTTGGCTTCAGCTCCGAGCTTACTAAAACATCATAAAAAGACATTACCGACCGTTTCAAGGACGTATTGTCCGTCTCCACTCAATAGAGAACAACCCCAGCTTTAACCAGATACCTGCCTTTAGCAACCCGGATGAGCTAAAACAGCTACCCTCGGCCTACTAGCCGCCATAAGCCTACATACAAGCGGCCGACGAGAACATACAGACGACTCAGAGACACATCCGGATGAGACACCAGGGTGAGAGACGGACGCCCCGCGAGAGACACACCGGCGCCAGCTACCCCCCCCCCCCGGCCGGCGGCGGTAATCCCGGCCGCATGGTGGCGGCCCACACAATGGCTCCCGCTTTGGTTCCACGCTGACCGCCTGAACTGGCAAAGGCTGCCTGAAACACAGCCCGCCAGCAGACACTGATATGAGGATGAGGAGGGGGCCTCCGTTCACTCGGATGAGGAAAAGATCCGGCGCCGCTCTGGAGGCCCCGACAGCTGTTGTCGTACAGAAGGACTCCTAAGCAACCAGCCCCCCCGAGAGAAGACATGGACCCTGCCTTTGGGTTCGGGGGTGGCCCAGAGGAAATATGCCCCCGACACCGTGAGTCCTGTGGGACGGGGACACACCAGCTTTTCTGGTATACCGGTCGCCGTGAGAGGGTGGACTCAGTCCCATGTATGTGGCCGGCGCTCAGTTGGGTGAGAGGGTCCAGACGCTTCACAGATGCATATGTGGTGCTGGTGAGGTGCAGGAGACGGACGGGACAAGGACTCTTGGTGGGGGGTCTGAAAGACTGATCTGGACTCCGAATGCCCACAGAACCTCAGGGCATCACGCGGGGAAGCTGGATATGACCTGGGGAGGACTGACAGAGGATAGACGGCCTAAGGGGCCCACAACGGCAGGCGTGGGATCGGCCCTCGCTTGGGGTAACGGATATTGCTTCACTCAGTCCGCACCATGTAAAGACACTGTTTAGTCTGGCCGTGATTAAATAACAAAGCTTGCCTAAATAATTCTGGTAACAAGTTTTACTTCACCTAAAAGCTGTACCAAGCAAAGAACAGAGAATACAACAAAGGGCAGACAAGGACAAAGGGAATGTACCCTGGTAGTTCATCTCAGAAACGGCTCTTTGTGCATGTTAAGCTTTTACTTATTTAGAATATTTGATGTTGGTTCTTAATTACCATGTTAGCTTACAATGCCAAAGGAATATGCAGTCCATGCTATAATGCCCCTAGGGGCCAAAGATTGATGCTACTTATTGCTGCGTACATAATAATTGATCGCTGCATAATAGGCTGTAAAGTCTTTTATTACCGCATACTTAATAACCGGATTGCTACATTAAATAATAATACAACACATTTAAAAAACGAATATGCCCCTTATGCTAAAAGTTTGACAGTTTTTTGTTTTTTTTATACATTTATTTCATAGCAAATTAATAAGACATTGTTATAATGCTAATAGTCATGATTTACTATTGCCTGACTGGTGCACTACCTCTGCCATATATGCTTACCGCACCATACGATTAAGCAATAATTTGAGCCCGTGTAAAACATATATAGTCTGTTTTTTGTTTTGTTTTGTTTTTTAAGTAACTTTTTACATTTATAGTATATTTAGCAATGGTATATGCCTGATTGAGGCATTTTATGCTGAATATTTACATGGGTACACCTCGGCCTAAAACTGAATATGATAAAAGAAGTGTATACGTGGTGACTACATTAGATATCGTTAAATTTATATAATTTGATCTTAATGAATGTTATTTAAGGTTTGCGTTCATTTCGCAAGAAAAATTGATTACATGTGGCTAAAAATTGGCTCAAGAAGTGACCAGCAGCGCATGAACACAGCACTGAACTTAAAGGCTTAGGTAGTGCCGATGATTGACATCCTGTAAAATCATACTGGACCTCTGCTTATTAATTAATTATTTTCCTGCACAATGAGCCTCTGCGCAGGCAACACTGCAATTAATCTTATAAAGAGCCTCTGCGCAGGCAACATCATGCTTAATTGTAGGTTTGCTATGTCTTTATGTGACAACAATAAACATATTCAAAACAAAAAACCTAATGAGACTGATTTGGGGCGTAAATGTTGACAAGCGTATACATTATCATTAATCTTGACAATAAAGATTTGGTAGCAATCATTATTATCAGGAATGCCATCAATAAGTTCTAATTTAATTTTTTTTGATACAATGATAGCAACTCCCCTTTTTTTCTGACCCACTGGATTTGCAAAAAAAAAATATTAGACAACCTACCTTACCATAATGCATTAGACTGTTGGGTAGATAATAGACAAAAACATTTTTCCCCATGTGCCTCCCCCACACCCCTCCCTTTCCCCAAAGTTTCATATGACCAGAAAACCTGTAATGCTTAACATTTACACCCTCCCCTCCTCTCCCCCCCCCCACCCCCCACACACACACAAAAATTGGTCCTATAATTATTAACCATCAATATAAAAAACATCATGTGGATATTTCATGTGAGAAAATCAACAAGTGAAGCTCTTATCACATACTTGAGTTTGCTCAATTATCCTCAATGTTCATAGTAATCCATAGAAGATACATACATCAGATACTTACATATCTACCCACACATTATCCTCAATTATGTAGAATAGTCAATATAAGTTAACCATGAAAAAGAAAATACCAAGTGAATACATTATCAGTCACAATTAATAATCTTATCAGATACTTACATTTCTACCCACACATTATCCTCAATTATGTATAATAAACAATATTAGTAAATTGTGTTTTACAAAAAACAATAATTACAAAAAAAAACAGCTGTATTGCCAGAGCTTCACAATTTCCAATAATGTTCCAAATAGCTAAGTTCTCTTGCAGAACCACTGGATCTGAAAAGGAATAGGAGCCACCATTATGCAACAGTTACAGGACTATAGGAAATGTCCACAAGTAGCGGATCCCATTGTGCCTCAAAATATGAGTTTGATCCACAAATACTTTCTTGCCAATCTTGTATCCAGCTACAGGTTCTGAAAAAACTTTGTGTCTGCCTGCATGACCAAGTTCTTAAAATAAAATTTGCAAAAGCATACTATAACATCTCTTGGAAAATGTCCATCAATGGTCTTGAATCTTGAAACATGATTAAATCTTTCAAATGGATATATTCCAAATTTTAACAGAGCTAAGAAATAATCTAATAACTAATGCAAATATGGACCCAGTTGATCACGAGTAACAGTTTCAGCTATACCACACACTCTTAAATTCTTTCTTTTTGACCTATCTTCAAGTTCTGTTACTTTATTTTCGACATTTTTAATTGCAAGGTAATTGCAAGGTAAAAGTTTAGCACACAAGGAAAGTCTGAGGAACAGCAAGCCATAGAAGGCTTCTATGATCTGAAATATTAAGACGAACAAGTAGAGGGGAAGTGCTGGTGGATATGTTTAATTCTGTGATTGGAGATAGTGGTTTTGAGTATTAATCCTTTCATGACAAACAAAGACACTGAGAGAGATGCAGACACACTGACAGAGATGCAGAAACATTAAAATAGTGATTGAAAGACATACACATACCATTGCAGAGAAACTGACAGACACACATACAGACACTGTCAAAGACAATGAGGGACACCAAAAGAAATGCAGAGACACTGACAGACTTCACTGAAAAAGACACAGACATATAGTGAGAAAGACACTGAAGGTAACAATGGCAAACACAGTCAGAAACAAAAAAAATGCACATATACACAGACTCCCCCACATTGTCACCCATGCTTACAAAAACCCTGACCTCCCTGCGCACTACTGACACAGACACTTATTCTTCTTCACACAACAACCCAGATCCTGACCCCAACGCACACACTGACACAGACTTTTATCTCCACACACACACTGACAGATTCTGACCCCCCCACACACACATTGTGACAAAGACCCTGAGCCCCCATAAACACTGACACACAAACACGCAGATTCAAATCCTCTACAAACACTGACACAGACTCTGAACCTCCACAAGCTGACACACACTGACACAAACATCCAAAGTAGCAAGATGCCAAGCCAGATGCTTGGAGGAGGACATTTGGGATAGCCATAGTTTGGGTCAAACCTCTTGAAAACTGTGTGAAACAGAACCATGGAATGGTGCCAGAGGCATGCTAACACCATTCCCAGTACATCATGTTGTAGTGGCTATAGTACTTAGACTGACCTGTTAAGAGCACTCAAAAGCATTCTCTATACTCTGACATCACAGGCAAGTCACCTGAGTTTTAATTCTTAATATGGTCCAAAGGGTACGGACACATGTGACACAATGACACTTAAATCATAACATATGTACTGTCCTGTGCCTGGTTCACACATACATACAGTAAGGGATAAAACCCCTACTAAAATGATCAGGATAGAGAATATCTTGACCCACGTTCTTTAAGACAATTCCTAGTTTTTCTTTTTAATGATTTTGGTCTATTTAAAGTAATTTGGCCTTTTACTGATTTATTTTTTACCTTCCTGCTCCATGGGAGTTTAATGACATTTCTTCTATTGTGTTTCTAGTGACAACGTACCATACAAATATAGCACCATCTGCAGATCTCTTCATCATTCTGAGAAGCAGCTCTACAATTAGCTAATAATGTGTAATCATTGTAGAATGGAACCTTCATTGGGTTAGACAAGTGAAGGGTTGATGATGAGTTACACTGTCGACATATAGCTGACATACATTATTGGCTATGAACTGACGGAGTTGGCTGTCAGTATTTCACTGAGATAAAGGGGAATTCCAGGGTGGATATGCCATCATTTTTATATAAATAATATAAATAATAGACACGTGTATTCAAATGTAGTCCATTTTGTCAGAAAACAATTAACGATCAAAATATTAATGAATGGCTGAATGAACAAATTGGTCACTGAACGAATTTTGTTCTGCACCATTCTGTCATTCGTTGAACCGCTGCTGTTCTGAGCAACCCTTTAGGAGTTGTTGTGACCACTACCTTTTCGCTGGGCTTACATTAGTTCTTATTTTTTCTGGTAGTAAGCGTGTGCATGGAATTGCAAGCATAGGAAAGTAATATATTATTTAGCTTTCAATGTGGATCAGTCCTGTTTTACAAACAGTATTAATTAATATTCATAGAGATTTATGTTGCACGAAATTTGTTAAATAAATAAAAATAATAATAATAAATAATAGCAAGGTATTTAACCAGGAAAGGTACATTCAGATTACTCTGGTTTTCAAGTACATCCTGGCGATGTTACCTTAGCCCAACATCCAGGGGTTGTTACTATTACCCAGTTTAATGGCACTCATTTTATCTACTTCGGAAGGATGAAGGGCTGAGTCAACCCTGCTGGGATTTGAACCTGCGACCCAAGGGTTGAACAGATTTTTAAAAAATTTCAGACAAACTGAATATGTGAATGATATTTGGACTAAACGAAAACAAATATTTTAAGAACAAATGAAAGAACCAAAATAAAGATCCTTTTCATGCACATCTCTTATAATGTAATAGAAAATATATAATTTAAATAATCAAGACAAAAAGTTAAATAATAAGATACTTTCGGGTGAAAGCATTTGTTTTTTAATTTTTGTCAGTATTCATCTCCAATGAGATCAGGATCTGGCTGCCAATTATCAGTCAATCCTTGGTTTCCTGTAGCTTTCTATATGAAACTTAGAAAGACCATACCAGTGGTTCCCAAACCAATGCTGATGGCCCACCAACAATCCAGGATTTATGTATTTCCCTGTTTTATACCAATGGCGATACTGACAAAACTTTGACTGGACAGGACTAGACTTGAGGACTCGTTTAGAAAACACTATACAATAGTAAAACAAGGCATTAACTTGTGCTCATGGATCTCTAAATTGAAGATTAGAGGAAGGGCATGAGTTTGGGCATCTTTTCCCTCTGAAGGAGAAGCTGTGATCTAACAGTTTAAATCTGGATTTAGCTAAAAAGAGTGCTTTGCATTGTCTGAGGAATTTATTATGTTTTGTGTTTGTTTGCAAGTGGGCTTTACTGGGGCTTGTTTTAATTTTCATTAATTCTAAAATATCTAATATATTGATTTTAGATACAGCTAATAAAGGCCCCAATTGAAATATTTTTGGATAAGCTTTTCAAATGATTTTATATATATTTATTTTATTTTAATTATATTTTTTGAATTGTTTTTTGTGCTTTAATTATACGTTCATGTATATAGGGTTACATTCATTTTGAGAGATCAATACATACTGTGCGTGTACCATGCCCCTTTGTACCGCAGGTTCCACAGTAAGATGAGTGTCAAGTTGTTTAGTTTACATTTCCTTACAGTATATAACATTTGCATCAAAGTGGGTGAGCAGACAGCAAGCGAGTAGATCTATCATGTATGTGCAAGATGAGTACAAAGATATGTAACTTGTTGGTTTGCCTTTGAAACTGGGTACATTTGGTCCTGCTGTATCGCTATTTAAAGGAAGTCATTATACCAGGCATAGGTAACCTTCGGCACTCCAGATGTTTTGGACTACACATCCCATGATGCTTTGCCAGCACTATGGGTTTTAGAGTATTATGGGGTATGTAGTCCACAACATCTGGAGTGCCAAAGGTTGCCTACCCCTGAATACATACATTCATCGCATGTGGTAGTATGTCCTGCTAACTCCATATACTATCATGAATGTTATTTTTAGTTTTTAAGAGAAAGTAAAGTGTGTGGTGGGAAAAGAACAAGAGTAGTTAATAAAAGGGAATAAGGGAAGGGGGGTAATGCAAGGAATCTCGTCCCTTGTCATGGTGGCAAAGCCTTCCAGTCCTCTGTATCCCTAATCCTCAGTGGTCAGTGTAGTCCTTCCATGGTTGCCAGATTTTAGTGAAGGTGGGTAAGTGTTACGCACTTGTGCAGTGAGTTTGTCCATTAAATGTGTCTCTTTTAATTTTTGGATGACCCTGTCCACCAATGGCATGTCTACGCACACCCTTGTTTGTGCCATTGCTCTCCTAGCTTCTAGGCTTTTGCTCACGGTTGGTCACTCCGTCCATGGGTTTTGCCAAAAGAAAGATCCAAGGATCTTTAGTTCTTTGTCTTTGCATTACCTCAGTCAGAATCTTTGAGGTCATAGTCCAAAACCTCTCTGCCTTTGGACATGTCCACCACATATGGATTATGTTCCCTTCTCCACACACCCCGTCCAGCAGCTGTCCGTGGGAGTCTTTCTTATTCAAAATTGTTTTACTGGTGTGGAGAACCATCTTATGAGAGTTTTGTAACACTGTTCTTTGTAAGTTACATGGAGGCCTTGATTTTATATTTTTAATACAATTTGAATACTTTTTTTTTTTCCAAAATATTTCAGGTGATCTTAATTTTATAGTAAATATAGTTTTTATTTAGAGACATACAATAGTGAAAAGAAAGGTAAGCCTAATATTTTTCTAAACATTTAAACATCAAATAATATGATATATTAAAAGATATAAATATATATATAAATATATAAAAACAAATATTAAGATGCTTTTCAAAATATTAAATCATTTTCAAAGTGTATCCAAATATGTCAACTAATTTTAAAAACTTGTCCAGAAATATAAAATTGGGGCAATAAATAAACTGATACCACTAGTTCCTTGAATGGCCATGGAAGACACAACATGATTGTGACTACTAGTAGGCTAGCAAACCTAACAGAATAACATAGGCGTGCGCAGCCTATTGCATTAGGGTGTGCACCCTAAAGCCCAAACACACGCCGCGTGTATATGTATGTGTGTGTGTATATGTATGTGTGTGTGTGTATATATATATATATATATATATATATATATACACACACACACATACATACACTGCTGTGTGTGTGTGTGTGTGTGCTGCATGAGGGTGGTTTGAGGGTGTTGTGTGTGTAAGGGTGCTGTGTGTGAGGGTGTTGTTAGTGTGATGTGTGTGTGAGGGTGCTGTTTGTGTGCTGTGTGTGTGTGTGTTTGTTAGGGTCCTGTTAGTGTGCTGTGTGTGTGAGGGTGCTGTGTGTGTGTTTGTGAGGGTGCTGTTTCTGTGATGTGTGTGTGTGGGTGCTGTATGTGTGTGGGTGCTGTATGTGCGAGGGTGCTGTATGTGTGTGGGTGCTGTGTGTGTGAAGGTGCTGTATGTGTGTGCTGTGTGTGTGTGCTGTGTGTGTGTGTGATGTATGTGTGTGCTGTGTGTGGGTGCTGTGTGTGTGTGCTGTGTGTGTGTGGGTACTGTGTGTCTGTGTGTATGTGTGTGCTGTATGTGTGTAGGTGCTGTGTGGGGGGTGGAGGTGGGGGTACATTACTTAATATCCCCCTCCCTTCTTACCTTATGAAGGGAGGGGGGATTCTTGTTCCTGCTGCTTTCCCTGGTGGTCCAGTGGAGAGTGAATGGGGCTAGAGTTCACTCTCGCGAGATCTGAGATCTGAGCGATGTATTTGTTGACAGTGAACATATAATATCCAGATGTAGGACAATTTCAGGAGCATAAGACATGTAACAGTCTCTAATCCCTGTTTATTGATCCATTTCTTCTGCCTGCATTATTAGGGTTTTAGGGGCTGAACGAATCGTTCAAACTATTAGGGGCTGAACAAATAGTTCAAATTCCTCTTGTCCACCAAAGATCAGCCAAGTATAGATGAGTACAGATGAAGATGTGGCTTCCTTTTTAAATTGGTCTGCAACTTTTTGCAGCTTTGCCAGCGCTGGATTCCAGGTTAGTAAAACTTTCCTATGCAGGTTTTAAAAGGGTGGACTTTCTCCATAGTGCCCAGTAGAGCATATTGCACAGGAAAGGTCTCCACCCTCTAAAGAGGGTTATGTTAACCCTTTAACCTGACATTAATACAGTATTAAAATATACAAAGTGTGCTTAGCTATATCTCATGAGTACAGCAAAAAACAATATTTTCCTTAAACATTGTTTTTTTTTTTCTAAGTTATGGTGCTAAATTAGTAGCTGGCCCATTTGCCTATCTGGGTATAATGTTGGGGCTAAGTCAAGTTAGACCATACAGGCATACTATTTACAAAAATAGTTACCCAGGGTATATCTTCTGCCAAATGTTGAACCTTCCTGTGTGGCCAACAGTATCCCCAAGTTCCTTAGTCTGAGTCATTATAGTTAAAATAGATAAAGTACGCAGTACAGGATATGTAGAACCAATCTAAAATCTTTCAAACACCTCTGGTGGAATCCCCAAAAGCCACAGACAAAAAGTTATAAGTTATACATACATAAGGTGGAACTGTAGACATCGGTAAATATTTACATCTATAACAAAAACACAGAAAAAACAAACATAGCGCAATATTGTCTGTATATCAATTGTGCGATAATATACAAGAGTAGTGCCAGAATCATGTGGCTCGCATGTGTAGTGCAGTGGGACCATTACCAGGATGCCCCCATTCTTCTTCTCTTTAATTCCTTGTGGGTTGATGTAAATAGAGGGCAATCGTTAGGACTCCCTCCCAGAGATCCTTGATACCTGGTTCCATTTGATGTAATAGATGCAAAGTAGTCTGGGCTCAGTCCTAGAGATCCTTTATTTAATTTAAATCCAGTAATAAAATCGATAAAAATTTAATAATAATAGATTAAGGATAAAAGTCTGATAAAATGTCCAGTGAAATAACAATGTCTCTAGCATGTGCCAAATATATCTGAAACGCGTTTCCCCCTCTATGCAGGGCTTCCTCAGTCGGTATTATAGCGGTCACTGTTCTGTCTCTCTTTTAAATGCTTGCCAATGTCCCACCTCTGTACCGTTGCGTCGGTGTATGGAACGCATAATGCGTTCCACCTTCTGCTTTCGGGTTCTCCTCAGACGCATTTCATTCACGTCCCCTGGATGTGTGAAGTGTTTTTGTGAGTTCTGCGTCCCTTCGCCAATGCGCCAAGCAGGCTGATGTGACGTGGGTATAAGTTGATTTATGCGTTGGAATGCATCATGCGTTCCAAAGTCCGTATAGCTATTCTCTTCAAATGTAGATCCTACCATACACATATATTAAAAGCACAGAACGCACCAAACACTGAAAAACTCAAAAGATTTTGATGTGCATATTTACAAACCAATAATATACATAAAAGGTGATAAAATCGGAACTCTCAGTTTAAGCTATGTGTATCTTAAATGTGCCATATGAATGTATCACTAACAAACAAAATGGAGAATAGACAAGGATGTTTGATTCTGAAATATTAAGGGACAATCATGTTATTTTATTCACAGATCAAGGGATCAAGTGACCAACAGATGGAATTAAAGTAGGAGAAGTGAAAAAAAATGATATTTATATATTGTATATTTAATAAATATAGAATTTTTTTTATGGCTCCTTTTTTTCCTTCGATTGATAATTTGTTCTCACTTGCACCTATCAGTGTACTGCAAAATATATATATGCAATATTTTTATGTATATATTGTGCAGCAGGCCTGGACTGGCCATCGGGCATACCGGGCAAATGCCCGGTGGGCCGCGATGTCCGTGGGCCGAGGCCAGCAGGGGAGATCACAGGATCTCCCCTGTCAGCCCCTGCAGGGCCTACGCTACCCGAGCGCCAGCCCTGCTGTGTGCCTCCATGGGCCGGTGGGGAGATCAAAGATCTCCCTCACCGGCCCACAGGCAGTTACAGGCGGCCACCAGCAGGAGAGGGAGGGAGGGAGGAAGGAGAGGACCGGCGGAGATCTAACCAGCAGCTCCCCTGGGTCCTCTCGCGGGATTCTGAGAGTTGCCGCGGTTACCACAGCAACGCTCAGATCTCGCGAGAGTGCACTCTAGCCTGCAGGTTAGAGTTCACTCTCACCACTGCACCACCAGGGAAGGATGGCAGCATGGCTCCCCACCCCCAGGCAGAACGGATCTCCCAGGATAAAGGTAAGAAGGGGGGGGGGGATATAAAAAAAAATTTATTAATAAAATAAATATATTTCAATTTAAATTAAAAATACATTCACACTCACACACACAGCACCCCCAGACAGACACACATCACCCAGACACAGCACCCCCAGACACAGCACCCAGACAGACACAGCACCCCCAGACACAGCACCCAGACAGACACAGCACCCAGGCAGACACAGCACCCCCAGACACAGCACCCAGACAGACACAGCACCCAGACAGACACAGCACCCCCAGACACAGCATCCCCAGACACACACAGCACCCCAGACACACACAGCACTCCCAAACACACATAGCACCCAGACAGACACAGCACCCAGACAGACACAGCACCCAGACACAGCACCCTGACAACACACAGCACCCCCAAACACACATAGCACCCAGACAGACACAGCAACCACAGACACAGCACCCTCAAACACACACAGCACCCCCAAACACACAGCACCCCCAAACACACAGCACCCAGACACACACAGCACCCAGACACACACAGCACCCTCAGACACACACAGCACCCTCAGACACCCCCAGACACACATACACACCCCAGACACACACAGCACACCCCCAGACACACACAGCACAGCACCCAAACACACAAAGCACCCTCAGACACACACAGCGCACCCCCAGACACACAGCATCCAGACACACACAGCACCCCAGACACACACAGCACCCCAGACACACACAGCATCCAGACACACACAGCGCACCCAGACACACACAGAGCACCCAGACACACACAGCGCACCCAGACACACACAGCACCCAGACACACACACATCCAGACACACACAGCAGACACACACACCCAGAGCACAGACACAGCACCCAAACTCACTGCACTCCCACAGACAGACACAGCACCCCCAGACAGACACAGCACCACCCAGACACACACAGCACCCAGACACACACAGCACCCTCACTCACACACACAGCACACTCCCACACATATACAGCACACACATATATATATATATATATATATAAAATAACCCTCAGTGAGTTAACAGACAAAGAAAATTAGAAACCTAGAATGTGACAGCAGATAAAAACACCCTCACACACAGCACCCCTCTTACATACACACACTGCGCCCCTCACACATACAATAAGTCCAATATATATATATATATACATACACACACACACACACTACAGCACCCCTCACACTGCACCACTACACACATTACGCTCCAGATACACACTAGATCCCTTACCCTATATGCACTCTTAATCCTCTACACACACACACACACACACTGGGTCCTTTACACAGTAGATCTCCTACACACACACACTACATTCCTTGTCAGCAAACACATACAACATTCTCTAAACACACCCTCTCTGCAACCCCTACACACACTACATCACCTATACACACACACTTCAGCCCGTATGCACTCACTCGCTGCATCCCCTATAAAACTATGCCCCTATACACACATACTCTCTACTGCCCCTTGCCACACATATTACACCACAAACACAAATGAAATTGACCTACTTACACAATACCACACCACACTCTACACACACGCAATCCCACAAGCAGGCTCCAAACATATGCACCATACACTTTCCTGGCCCTTTTGTCCTCTGGTATCCCACTTGTGGAGACACCAGAGACAATTTAAAAGCAAACAAAGCGCAAGCATGTTATTAAATTTGCTTGCGCTGGGCAGAACAAAGTCAGGGCCTTTTTCTAATGCCAGAGCTCTTCAGCGGGGCTCTGCGCATTGAACCAACATGCAAACTTTGAGAGGGGGCGTGCTTGTCATTAGTGATGACAAAACACACACTCTCTGGCCCCGCCCCCTTTTTAGGGGGCCGCTCTGATTGAAAAATGCCCGGGCCTAATTTTTTTCCCAGTCCGGCCCTGGAGAGAGCTGAGCTTACGCAGGCACTGTTCTTAATAAT